GGGGGGGGGGGTGTGTGTGTGTGTGAAGAAAAAACCTCTATTGATGTATGCAATTCACTGAGGCTCAACTTCAGATGGTGTCTTTGCCACAATGGACAACGCATGTAGTCCATTCTGTAATTCGTCTTGCAACAAGCTGTAAATTAATCTATGCCTCTTAACCAAGCTCTTGTCTTCAAATTCTTCAGAAACCACTTTCACATTAAAATGCGTCTCCTCATTGCTTCCCTTAACCCCAGCATGACCCGCATGCTGGTAAGATGTATCCTCAATCTCCAATTCAATAGGTCTCAGATCTTTCTCCAATCTCTCCTTTATCCTCGTCCCTCTATTCCCTAATACACTACCATTACCCACACCAGACTCCAAAGCACTGGGACTTTCTTTAACATTTGATTTACCATTCCCACCATCATTCTTCAACCCCAGATCAGAATTCTCGGCTGGGTTTTCTTCTGTGACTTCATTGCTTGAATTACCAGCCTTTTCACTTTCGACAAACAATTGCAGAGCCTTTCTCTGCATCAACTTCAACATATTCAAGAACCCATTATTCCTAGATGGAGTCAAACTCTGCTGCAACCCAAGAAGCACCACAAAATCAGGTGAAACTCTCAGAATCTCTTCCACAGGCCGGCCAGAAAGGCCCTTGACTAGCAAAGCAGCCAGCCCTTTAGTCAGCACTGAATCAGAATCTGCCTCAAAGATCACGTTTTTATCATTGTCAAGATATGCTCTGACCCACACCTGTGAAACACAACCCTGTACTTTATTTTCACTTGTTTTATATTGAGATTTCAAAGGATTCAAATTTCTTCCATAGAACAATAACTGTTCATACTTGGCCTTTGGTTCTTGAACTGCCTGGAACAGTTTAATTATATCTTGAAGCTTTGGAGGTAACTCCTCAATGGGCTGGACAAAGACTGAAGGGGAAGACGAAGATGAGGTTGGAAAAACGGATTCTTTTGTGGGTATTCTTTGAAATGTAATTGGGTTGGAGAAGAAGAAGAATTTTGTGGGTGGTGAGGGTAAAGATGGGATTTTCATGGATTTCAAGAATTGATTGCTGGAGCGATAAAAAAGGAGGGAGTGTGGGATTTTGGCAGAAATCGACATGGGTTTTGGTTACCTGATTAAGAATTGTGTTAATAGAATTTCAGATGAGTCTCTTGAGCTGTGACGTTGTAGGGAGCGGCTGAAGGGTCGAAAGAGGAGAGGGACGAATGACGATGGAATTACTCTTTTCCTTGTTATCGTGTCCAGGGTAAAGACAACAAGGATTCAACCAGAAATTTATGAGAAAATGACAAAACAAAGGAGCGGGGGGGCGGGCGTGAGGGGGAATTGGTCAAAGAAAATTCTTCAATTGAACTGCAATTTCAGCCTCTCAATCAAATGCCAACAAGTTCTTTAATGGGAAAATTGGGACTTCATTTAATCGCCTCGTGGAGTCGCGAGGAGGATATGATTTTTATTTTTTTATTTTTTCATTTTTTAAAATGATAAAAGTGATTATTTTGTTTGCTTGGAAAAAAATTATAT